ATCGACTTCAGCCAACCGGGCCTCTCGCGCCGCAGGCCAAAATCAGACATGCGCCCTTGTGCGCGTGCTGGGAACGGGCGCGATCAGCGTCAAATAAAAACCTGCGGGCCACTCTCGCGCGTCGGCCGCGCGCCTGTCGAACTGCATCCACAACTTTCATCACCGATGCGAGGGCGCCGTCATTGTCGCCGGCGTGATCCACATCAGCGCCGTCGCTGCCCTTGCCGTCGTCGGTGCCACCATCGTCGCCAGCGTCGCTATAATCATCATCGCGCCTACCGTTGTCGACGTTGCCATGATACTGGCTCGCTCAAGTCGCCGACTCGCACTGAAGTGCCCGCTGGGATGTGCCCAGCGGTCAGCGCCACCGCGGCCGCGTCGGTCGCGGCAACCTAGCTGGCCGCCGCGCGTAGTGCATGCTCGGGCTGGCGCGGCCACAGAGATGCACCAATGCACCAGCCAACACCAAGCATTCATGGCAATCGGCGCCGCTCGTGTTGTGCAAGACAAGTTGCGGGTGGGTGGTGAGATGATTGCGCGAGCAGTGGAGTTGACAACTGCGAGTTCCAGGGGAGAATTGCACCACATAAACTGCACCACGACGAATGCACCACATAGATTGCACAACATAGATTTCTAGAAACACACTTTATGCGGTCCACGCTGGATAACATGTGTACACATCCGCAGATACGCATCAGACGGCGGAGGCTGAACGTTCTTACACCGTCCCTGGGTGCGTGGCTGATTTTGTTTGCTGCTGATGTCGCCGTCCTCGCCGGCGACCCGCCCGCCACCCACCCGCGACCGATCCGCGACCCAACCCCGCGACCCCCCCCGCGACCCCTCCCGCGACCCAGCCGCGACCCAGGCACCCACCTTACTTGTACCAAAATTCCACGCCTGCGGCGAGCTCGACATATAAGGTGTACAAAGAAAGTGCCCGCGGCAAGCTCCGCCTCGCAGACCTGCCGACGACCCCACCGCCCCTGCACTCTTTTCCGCAATCATGGAGGCTGTGGCTCTCCGTATGCATGACCCTGGGTCGAGGGTCCACAGGCCCCCTCCCCCGGTTGGCAAGGGCCCGAGGGCTCCACGGCCTCCCGCAAATCCGGGATGGAGGGGGGGACGACGACGACGACGACGTCGACGACCACGACGAGAACGACGACGAGAACGACGACGACGACGACGAGGACGACGACGTCGGAGACGACGTCGGAGACGACGACGAAGACAACGTCCACCCTCCACCACGACACGCCCACAGGGTCACGACCAGGGGAGGAGGCGGGGCGATCCCAGTCGCGAGGGTATCACGGGCGTACCCATCCAGCGGGGTGGGGGGAGCGACCCCATTAGCATTAGAGGGGGAGGGGTGGGGGGGCGGAACCTTGGCTCATACAAGTATGACAAATAGATCACATGACTTGTCTTCATCCTCATCGATCCTCGTCCACCCCATCACTCCTCATCCGCCTCAGACCACCTTCGGTCCAGCTTACCCTTCTTCATTCCCTTCATTCGTTCACCATTATTTCTCCTCCTCCGCCGCCTCCTCCTCCTCATCCGCCTCCTCCTTCTCTGGTCCTCTGTCTTCTGCCTCAATCGTCTCCCGCATCCTCCTCAACCCTGTCCTCCATGTCCTCCTCCATCTCGCCCATGTTCTCTCCCTCCTCCCACTCCTCCCCCTCCTTTGGGGTAGAAGCCGCTACTCCCCAGGCCTCATCCAAGATGCGTTCTGACAAGAACTTTCGATACAAGAGTCCAGCCGAGGCGGCGAGGGCTCTCAATGACGAGCGGATCTACCGGTGTGCTTCCCCCCTCCAATGTTACGTCCTTCCCCCTGCCCCCCTTCCCGCCCGCTTGGGGGGGAACGACTGGTGGGATCAGCTCAAAATCGACGATGAAATCGACTATACATCGACTATACTATAATTGAGGGGGAACGACAAGGGGGGGGAAACATCGACCTGAAATTGACGATGCATCGCCTACAAGACGGCGATGGGCGATACGTGTGCCCACGATTGCACAGTCGCACGCTCCCAGGCGGGGTGGGCTATCGCGAGCCCCCTATCGGCCGAATAGGCAATGGGGGGGTCGATGCGTCTCCATCTGAGCCCATCCCCCCCCAGAGGTTGCCCAACGAAGGAGGATGAAGCGGAGGAGGAGGAGGGAAAGGGCACAAGACGAGGAGGATGACGAGCACGACGAGGAGGAGTGGGAGGCAGAAAAGGAGGACCGCCCCTCCGTCCGCCCAGCGAACTGTCCTGCCCGTCCCCCCGCCCCCTCCCTCGCCCGCTCCCTCGAGGCAGAGACGCCAGCCAAGCACGCGTGCGCGGGGCTCTCCTGGGGGTCCCGGCGGTCGTCACCGCGGCCTGAGCGTCGAACCGCGACGGTCTCGTCCGCCTCCTCATCACCACCCTTTCCTGGCCTCCTCCTCCTCCTCTGCCTCCTCCTCCTCGCCGCCTCCTCCCCCCCCCCTCGCCTCATACTC